GAGGTCACATCATGCCCATGAGTACATGCTTGAACTGTTTTTCAGCCGCTTCATACGCAGCTTCATACGCAGCTTCACCGGCCCTGTAAAACTCCCTACGTACGGATGAAGAAGCCCCGCCTGAGCAAGATCCGTCATCTCCTGGTCCAACGCTTTTAAACCTGCCGGAGTCCGGTCGAGGTCGGTCGGTGTTTCAACCGTCGTTCGCGAAGTCGGTGGGACTCTGACCGTGTTCGGTCGGTGGATAGGCCGTGTTCGGTCGAAGCACTAAGACTATGCCCAATGGACTCTTGAGGAATCGGGCCCCCCAGGCCTGGATCTTCCAACGCAACATGTCTGAATTTGGACTGGTTATGTGAATGAAAAGGCAAAGATTTGGCATAGTTGGAAGATCGCATGTAAGAGGCTTTACGATCCAAATGGAGAGTTTTGTAGATCCTTGGGGCCATCTTGGCAGCGGCGTGTCCCGTTTCACGCCACCGACTGGTGTTGCGAACCGGGCGTCTTCTGTCAGTGTTGGGCCCGCTGGACTCGTAGTACCGGCCGGTACGCTCCAGCGTACACGGATGGACTCGTACGGCCGGAGGGTCGTGAACCCGACCTTCCCTGCGAGTCAAAGACAAAAAGAATGGTCGGACGACCGGTGATTCGAGTTCAGGAATGTCCTGACTTCAGTCGGTCCAAATCTCGAACTGGACAGTTGGGCCTTCACAACAGACCGGCCGAACCGGTCGGGCCGTCTTCGCCGTCCTCACATCTCCCGTCGGAACGGGATCCGTCCGTTTTCGCTGGTACGGTGCGGAGGGAGACCACTAGCTTATGATCTGTTTAGTTTGTAGGGTCCACGTAACCTTCTGAGAAGGTACATCTGGATCCGAGCTTGATGAGCTACCCGGCTACTGAATCTTCGCTTCGTGGACCCTGAATCCTCTCTCTCTATGTCTGGACATTCACTGACCCTCGTCCGACGCTGCGAAAAACGGCCCTTCCGGTCCCTCAAAACCGGACTGCGAGGGCCACCAGACCCTTCAAGGAGCGTGTGTGGGTCAGACGTCCGGATCCACTGGACTGACCCGACGGAACTTGGGCACATACACAACAGTCTCCGTCCTCACCGTACCGTACAGAAGGTGATTGGATCCCGGATGGGGCGTGTGGCTTCTTGCCATTCAAACTCACACTTCCGGCCCCAAACCTCACGCGCCGAATTCCGGCGTGGCGGCGGAAGCCCGCCTTCCTTGAGCTCCTCTCGGTCGTTCAGCGGGCAAATCCGCGCAGAGCCCTCGTCACCGAAAAGGCCGGAGAAGACCAGCTCCTGCGACGCCGACGCCGACGCTCGGAGAGCGGTGCCAATCGGTGCCAATGGATCCACTTCTGCTGGAAGCATGTATAACAATAGCCATCAATAACCCAAGCACTCCATATCACTCCATGGGACTGCCATATTTGCCTACCTGAAGCATCCTTTGTAGCACTTATTTCTGGCGAACCATGGTTTGGAGCACTTATTGGAAGTTTGAGCGTTAATTGAGGGTATGTACACTTTTCAGGACATATGAGCGCTTTTTGGTGATGTAAATTCTAAAGCCTACTGGTTCCTGACCAGTGTCCTTATCAACCCTTGTGGGCCTTTGGGGGCCCTATGGACCGGGTGGAAATTCTATATGACCTCCTACTAGTAGTATGTGCAAATGAAACCACAAAGGTTTGGTTCCAACCTTCTGGGCGTGCTTTACAACAATTTTTCCAAAAAGGATGCCCGCAACTTGGGCGCAAATTCCCGCAACCCGGGCGCAAATTCCCGCAACCCGGGCGCTATTTTAAAAAGTGGCGGATTGTTATTTTACTTACAGTAAATATGTTATGTTGATTCTGATGATCAAAGAAAGGGGTTGCTGGCTGCCGCTTCGTAGTGTGTGAGCGTGTGTTGTGTGTGCATGGGATGGGTGCCAGCATGTGGCAGGGGAATGGACTTGAAGACCACATAAGGTGGAATGAAGCTACATCTGACTTTCCAGTGGTACGCTTTTTCAAGGCATGAACACTTTTTCCCGAAAGCATTGCGAAGGGTTCTTCCGGAAAATCCTTTGAACACTGACACTTCGACACTTACACTTCGACACTCACACTGACACACTTACACTTCGACACTCACACTTACACACACACACACACTGGAAGAGCGAAAGCATCCAAGTGCGAAGTATGCCAGTGTCAAAGTATGCAAGTGTAAGTATGCAAGCATGATATGCAAGGGTGAGTATGCAATGATATGCAAGGGTGAGTATGCAAGCATGCAATGAGCATGCAAGCATGCAATGAGCAGGCAAGTGTGAGTATGGAAAACTAGCACGGGAGATGTCCTAATGAAAAAACATTTCCCCACTTTATAAATTCTCTCTTAAAGAGGGAGTGCGGGACGAACAGCGTCAACCGAAAGTGCAACCCTCTGCGGAGATCGTGCGTGTGGAGTGCGCGAAATGCAGGCGAGAGTGCGATTTGCCGGATGTGCGCGCAACCCTCTGCGGAGATCGTGCGTGTCGAGTGCGCGAAATGCAGGCGAGAGTGCGATCTGCCGGCTGCGCGCGCAACCCTCTGCGGAGATCGTGCGTGTCGAGTGCGCGAAATGCAGGCGAGAGTGCGATTTGCCGGGTGTGCGCGCAACCCTAAGGATCCGAGAATCTACTTTTCATGGCTGCCAGCCACTTTCCAAGATTCTGGCCCCCTAGAAGCCAATGCTGGAAGATAAGATTTGTGGCTGGCAGCTAGGATTCATGGCTGGCAGCCACAAATCTTATCTTCTCAAAACTGGCTGGCAGCCATGAAAAGTAGATTCTACTTCTAAATGTGGCTTCTGCCCAAACTCATGTTACCACCTCCAAGAAGCGCTTCTTGGAAACAAGATATTTGATATGTTGCAGCTGTTTGGCTTTAAGCAAGCTAGGTATAGATGTCAGGAGAAGCAACGCTGCCCATCCCCCAGCCTGCAATAAAGGCAGATATCAGCAAGCTGGTGGCCTTTGCAAAAGGCTTCCCTGACTCTTGCAATGCAAACCTGTGGCCAGCTGACCCTGAAGAAGCCTGCACAAGGCATGCATTGTTTTTGGGTGTGTGGTTCAAGCATGGGGCTTTGAGCAAGCCTGTGGAAAGGCAAGCAATGAAAGAAGCCAACCATAAATTGACCACATCAGAATGCAAGTTGATCGTGAACCAAATTCATGAATGCAAAAACTTTCTGAGAAGAAAATGGAAAAATCTCAAGACTGGAGAAAAAACCTCTGGTCTATTGATGGGTTTGATGCAAAGTCTGTTTGGCACTCCACAGCCTGCAGAAAGGCCAGTGAGAAGGCTTAACCAGAAGACACCAAAAAAGAAAGCCCTTCAGCCTGCAGAAGAGAAGCCTGAGCAAGGCCCAGCACCTATCACTTTTTTAGAATCCCCAGCTGCCATTCTACCATCAGACCAAGAGGTGGTGGAAATCGAAAGTACAGCTGCAAGCACAGCAGTGTCACAACAAGATCTGGAGCCTGCAAAAAGGCCATCATGCAAAAAAGCGCCAAAGAAAGTGCCAGCCTGCAAAAGGCCAAGTGCAGCAAGCAAAGCCAAGGCATGTTGGAAGAAGAGCCTTTCCTTTGGGTTTGTTAAGGAAACCAAAGCTTCAAACAAGGCTTACATTGTGTCCAAGCCTGAAGAAGGCAGCAAGCCAACTTGCCTGGTGAATGTGCAATTGCCTAGGGGTCCTGACCAAGACAGAGTCATGTCTGCACTTATGGCTAAAGCCTGCGAAGAGGCAAGCCTGGAGAAAAAGCAGCTGGTCTCATACAAAGATCAGCTGCTGAAGGACTCGCCAGCACAGCCTGCATAAAGGCACCCCTTGGTGAGGATCAAGGGACAGACAGCACAAAGGCCACTGGGGAGAAGCCTGAGCAAGGCACCATTGGCTCGCACAGCCTGCATGAAGGCCAGCTTTAGATTCCAGCCTGCACTAAGGCCCTTACTGTACAGTTCAGCACTTGCTCGCTGTGGTTTTTGAAAAAAGAGCCTATGTAGGGTAGGGCACAGCCATGTTTAAAAGAACTGTTTTGTGTTTTGGGGGGCCACTGTTTAAAAGGGGGTTCATGAACCGATGGCTCAAGAAGCATGCACAAATCCCATGGACATGTGCACAGCAACACACAGCAACACACCACATACACACACTCTACCATGACAAACCGAGACAGCTCCATGCCACACACACACTCCACACCAATGACACACTTTGAAGCACCATGCATGCCTGTGCAACATGCATGTTTTGTGTATCATGTCGATGAAAAACACACAAACCCACAGAGACATATCTTCATGCAGCCATATTTTTGTAACACTTCATGCTTCAAACTTCAGGTGCCCACACTTTCAACTTTCACAGACTCACACATGACATTTGCAAATCACATGTATACACACTTCCATTTCATACACACTTCACAGCTCATAGATTTACACACAGCTTATATAGGGCACAACCAGGGTAGGACAGATTGCTTTGGCCATGGCTTTCTTGTTCCACCTGCCCAGCCTGAACAAGGCCTTGCTCTTGATTGTGGTGTTGAGCCTGCAGAAGGCAACTCTCCTGGAAGGGGTCCAAGGCAGCTTTCCCTGGTGGAGGGTGAGGCTGTTCAGGGGCACTAGGTGGTTGTGGGATGTGGATTCCCAAGCCTGGACAAGGCTCACCAATGACCAAGAGCAAGAACTGGATTGCCTGGAGTTCGATGAGCCTGAAGTAGGCCAATTTATACAGCACCAATCCCAACAGTGTGGATACACTGGGGATTGGTCAGTTGATGCTGCCCCACCTGTCTGGGATAGGTGGGCTGAAGGTTGGGTAAGGCATCAGCCTGGACAAGGCTCTGGTCACCAAGAGCCTGAACAAGGCAGATCTTCTTCTTGGAGGTCCCATGACCAGCCTGAACAAGGCACATCTTCTTCTTGGAGGTCCCATGGCCAGCCTGAACAAGGCACATCTTCTTCTTGGAGGTCCCATGGGCAGGCTGAGCAAGGCAGATCTTCTAGTTGGTGGTGCAATGAGCCTGAACAAGGCAGATCTTCTTCTTGGAGGTCAAGTCCAGAGCCTGAGCAAAGGCAGCCAAGGTACTCAAAGGTTGAGCCTGGAAAGGCCCAGTGGCAATACTGGGATGATTGGTCATCAGAGGATGAATCTTCCCATTGGGATGATGACCAATGGGAAGATTGGAGGGGCTATGCTGATTGGCAAGATTGGAATGAAAGCCCGTATGAGGGCAACCCTAGGTGGCTGAGCAGGGGCCCAGTGTCAGCCAAAAGAAGGTTTGAAAGGAGAAGGCTGATTCAAAGGGGTGAGCCTGTACCAAGGCATTTGGAGCCTTATGATTGGGTTGCCAATTGTGAGAACAAAGAAATGAAAAGAGAAATTCACAGGTGGCAGCAGCAAGCCATGGCGATGGAAAGGCAGGAGAGGGCAAGAAGAGGCCTTGAGCCTGGACCAAGGCAGTGCAGGGCAAGAAGCAAAAGCCAGCACAGACCAAAACCTCCAGAACCTCCTAAACCAAGGAGGGCTCAGCCTGCACAAGGCACACCAGCCCAGCCTGAACAAGGCCAATTCCAGCCAACAGCTACAAAAGAAGAGACAGTTCCAGAAGGCAAAAAGCCCAAGCCCAATGCAGAAAGTGCACCAAAGCCTGCAGATGCTGAGCAGGCAGTGGAGCCTGAGCCTGCAGGAGGGCAGAATGAGCAGCCTGCACAAGGCCAGAATGAGCAGCCCAAAAAAGGAGATGATGCTGCTCATGATGGTGCTGATGATGGAGGCATTGAGGATTTCTGAGTGAGCACTGCACAGCTCAAGCCTGAACAAAGGCCAGCACACCCCATACCTAAAGCCTGAACCAAGGCCAATTCCACCACTTGTCAGCTCAAGCCTGAACAAAGGCCAGCACACAAGCCTGAACAAAGGCCAATTCCACCACTTGTCAGCTCAAGCCTGAACAAGGCCAGCACACCCCATAGCTGAAGCCTGAACAAAGGCCAACTCCACCACTGGTCAGCTCAAGCCTGAACAAAGGCCATTCAAAACCACAGCTGTCTTCTAGCCTGGATAAAGGCTTGTACAGAAATGGAGCCTTGGCAGCCCTGCAAAAAAGCTCTTTGGGTGGGGAGTGGGGTTTTGTGGTTGGTTGTTGCTGGTGGTGGTGGTGGCTGTTGGATTAGGGGAAGCCTGGAACAGGTATACTACTTGAGATGTGAGTGGTTCACCCCCAAGGTCTTGAAGGTGAGTGGTTCACCCCAAAATTGGTA